TGACTAGGCATACGTAGTACGTGTCCCAACCATCTCAGTCGATGAAGGTTCACAACCTCGTCAACTGACTTACCTCTTCTCCCTCCCTTAAACTCTACACCTAACTTCTGCATTACTCACATGGTGACACCACGAAATACGGCATATACTACGAAGGCAACGGTGGTCAAACACCTCAAGCCTTTTTGTATCCTCCACTTTCAATGGCCATGTTTCACAGCCATATAGTAGAACAGAGAGGACTGCTGTGCAGTACACGCGACTCTTAGTAGACAAACGAATATCACGGCGGTGCCATAGGTGGCGCAAATTGGACAAAAGCCAATCGAGCCTTTTGTATCCGTGCAGAAATCTCATCGGCAACTAACCCACCAGGGTTGATCCTACTTCCCAGGTAAGTGAAGTGGTCAACACACTCAACCAACACTTCACTCTCTATTGTTAGCCGCGGTACCGCTGAAGACCAGTCCTGGAGCAAAAATTTGCATTTGGGTGGTGAAAATGGCATCCCAAACATTTTCAAATTCCCACTGAAAGTGTTCAGAAGACTCTGCATCTTAGTCAGCGTCTTCACCTAACAGGGACTATGTCATCTGCATATTCTAGATCTAAAGAAAATTCACCTGTGATCGGGTCAACGTCTGTGTAATTAGGTGACGAGAGGGAAACCTCCATAAGAATATCTATGATAAAATTAAATAAGAATGGGGATAGTGGGCATCCTTGACGGACACCACTTGATGAGTATAGTGGTGTCCGTCAAGGATGCTAGCTATCTCTGTTGCTAAAGGGCTTATCTGCTTTATCTGTATGTCTTCACCTAACCTCGATGTTATACTGTGAAGGGACCTTTGTTTGAAAACCTGAAATCTCTTCATGTCTTCTTCTATAACAATCATATGCTACAGCTATATAACAGGACATAGCAGAATACTCGTTCTTTAACCGATCATTCTACCAAATGAGTTATGAAAATCAAAATAAACCTTGTAGTAGCAGTACCAGGACCAAACATCACATGGATGGTTATTGGTCTGATTATCCTAATTCATATTTTTATTGCTTAGTTTGATGTTTGCGCCAGGCAATCATTGAATAGGATATATGAACAACGAATGACAACCATCGCTGATAGGCCACTCGTGGGTTTGTATAAAGTTGACTGACCATCTAGAAAATTATCTCCAGTGAATATATAGGTCCTTGGGTACTTAGTAGCACATAAGGCTTCACTAGCACGTCACCATTTCACTCTCTTCTCTCCAGTCTTCACAACATGGCTCCATCACTACCCCGACACTTTAATTTATCCTCACACAATCTCCTCCATGTCACCCTCAGCCCCCACGCCCAACTCGTCGCTTTCCCTTTGACTTCCACTACACTGCCTCACCTGACCTGACGCGTAATGCACCCAAACCGTCTTCTCAGTGTATGTCCAATCCAATCCATCTTCACATTCTCCCCCTGCATATTTGTTGAGTGATAGGTTGTTGCTTCGTTGGTTCATTGTCAGCCAGAGTGAGTTCCTTGTTGCTTATTCTTTTCGACCATATGATCTGATCTGATGTGATCATCATTATCGAGTGAGCGTGGTTGACAGCTGTTGATGTATGATGTCTACAGTTTGTTGGGAATGTTTTGGTAACGCGCCAAGTCTCTTAAGCATCACATGTGGGCAGTGACTTAGTTGACAGGATTAGTGTTGAAAATGCGGATGTTGTTCCATATGCTGAGTGAAGTGGAGTAGATCTGCACACTGATATCAGGTAGGTGAAGTGAAGGCTGTCTTGCTGTGTTTCCGATGATGGCTTTGACGTGGTCATGTGTGCGTGTGCCTGTGCCTGCCTGTAGTTGAAAGGATGCTGACTAGTAGGTGTGTAGGTACGTAGGTGAAAGTGACAACTTTGTTTAGATTTCTCCTGTTGATGGTAATTTTATGGTGTTTTGTGATCCTTAATGGTACTTTACATTATATTAGCATTATTAGTCATTAAATTAAGCTTGTTGAGTTGAGCTAATAATTGACAGTGAGGTGGTTGAGCGCGTTGAACACTTCACTTACTCGGGAAGTCGAGTTACTCCTGCTACTTTCGTCAGTGGCTGACGAAATCTCTGCACGGATACAAATGGCTTGGTTAGCTTTTGCCAACTTACTTCATCTGTGGCACCGGCGAGTGTACTGAGCTGTATTTCGCTCTATTGTACTCGATGGCTGGAAAACATGGACATTAAAGGTAGAAGACATGAGAAGGCTTCAGGTGTTTAACCAACATCACCTTCGTGACAAAGACTGTACTTCATGGTGTCACCAGATGAGTAACATGAAAGTGAGGTGTATAGTTTTTGAGAGGAGAGGTAAGACAGTTTAGTTGTTGCAGTGGTGAAGGTTGATCAAGTGAGATGGCTGTGTGGGAGATGTGTTGGTGTGTGTGTTTAACCGTCATCTACCTTATCGTACAATGTTGTTTGAAGTAGGTTGATGCTTGGAGAAGGTTGGGGTTGAATGAGTGGCGAGACTGGAAGATGGCATCAATGCATGAAGTCGTTGACTGTTTGTTTGAGGCGTGTAGGGCGTACAGACTAGCCGGCTGAAGACCTAGGTGATATGGCAGAGAATCCATGTTATTGTTGTGGATCTATACACACATTATCCTCATCATCTCATTTGTTCCTCTTCTTGTTTACTACTTCCTACTTCTGACCGATTTTTCTTTCTTTCTTCATCTCTTATTTTCTTTCCTTGTTGCTTGTTGTGCTTATATATGAGGTGTGACTGGCCTTACATCTCTTGAATCACTTCCGAGAGATCATGAAACTCAGTGACAAACACATTTCTCAGAAATGAAACCAGTTGGTATCCGTCTATAATGTTCTTGCCTCTTCTCTTACTAAGAGGTAAGATAAGAGTAGTGAATACTTCGTTAGGTGTAACTCTGCAGCTGTTTCTTTGATAATCCATTTCTTTCTTCTTCAGTCTCAAGGTAAATCCTTCTAAATATCAGATTGCTAATTACTTTTAGCCTCAGGCATAAAGAAAGCTTATGTGAGCTGCTTAAGTTTCACGATGTCGGTTGTATTGAAAATATTTCTCCAGGAAGTAAATCGAGTGTTAACTATCTTCGATTGAGTTTTACTTCTAATCTTTGTTGGCGGTCGTCTCCTTTGTCTTGTTGACTTCCAAGAGAATCTTTCGTCTAACGTATTGCATTAAAGAAACTGATACTCTCTGGTAAAACTCAACTTCTATTTTTACAATTTACTAATTCCTGGAAGTACAAATCATATGCGGACCAAATTGCAACGCTTCGCATCATCATGGAACAGAGTATAGAATGGCAGTCAACTGTACCTCTACCTCAACTTCATCGACTTTGAGAAGGCCTTTGACAGCGTCGACCGAGAGGTAATTTGGAAACTGCTTCAATATTACGGAATACCGCAAACCTTTATCAATCTCATTCAACAGCTAGCTATATGAAGACGCCACATGCTAAGTAATTCACAATTGAAAGCTCAGTGATGTCTCTGAAGTGAAGTGAAGTGAAGACAGGAGTAAGACTAGACAAGGCTGCTGTCTACTTTCACCCATGATATTCCTGATTGTGTTATGGTCGACTGGACTGGATCATGCAACAAACAGTGAGGAGAGAGAAGAGGGGGATACGCTAACTGTAACGAGGAAAAGAACCTAGAAGATTTGGATTTCACCAACGATGACTTGTGTCTAAGGTCGCACAAACTTGAAGATCTACAGGCGAAAACTAACAAGTTGACAGAAGAGGCAGGGCAGGGCAGGGCAGCGAAGGAAGATGAGACTTCAAGTGAATGTAGCGAAGACAGAGATGATGAAGATACCCAACCAACAACAACAATAAACACCGATCACCATCAATGGGAGAAACGTAAAAGAAGTAGCCTCTTTCACCTACCCACCTAGCCAGCACTGTTTCAACTACAGGCAGCACAGGCACACACGAGAACATCAAAGCCAGGATCGAAAAAAATAGCAGTAACCTGAAACCAGTGTAGAGATCTACTGCACTCAGCATGTGGAACAACATCCGGATTTTCAACACCAATCCAGTCAAGTCAATGCTTCTATATGGTTGAGAAACTTGGCGTGTTACGAAAAGCATTTCTAACAAACTACAGATATTCATCAACAACTGCTGTCTAGGCTGACTCGTTACTGAACATCAGATGATCAAAAAGACTAAGCAACAAGGAACTCTGGCTGGCTGGTTGGCTGGCTGGCAATGAAGCAACGAAGCAAGAACCTATTGTTGAACAAATATGCACTGGAAGGAATGGAGATGGATAGGGCATACACTGAGAAGGTGAATTGAGGACATCACGCACCAGGCCAGGCAGTCGAGTGGAACTCAGATGAGAAACGACGAGTTGGGCGTCGTAGCTGAGGGTGACAGGAAGGAGATCGTGTGAGGAAGAAATGAGAGCTTCTGGTCGTGGTGGAGGCAGGTTCAGAATTTTGCAGAGAACAGAGTGTGCCTTTTGACGTGCTACTGAAGCCCTGTGTTCCACTAGGAAGGAACACAAGGGACATATAATAATAGTTCTTTGATTTTACCCATTCTTCTCTGTTGTTCCCTCAGCGATGTTTCATAGTCTTCTAAAAAGGGACTATGTTATATTGTGCTAGGGTTTGAGAGCCATCAAGAAGATATGTGGTGTGCCCCTGGCTCAACTGAATAATATTATTATTGATAAACATTCCAATTTTAGGCAGTAAATAGCTAAAGTAATTTCAGCTGGCACTGAGCATCTACTTTATTCACAGTTTTCTCTCTTTTTGTGCCTCCTCTCAGGAAGGGGACAAAAAGAAATTACATCAGACTGTACGTTTGTACAGCGAAGTACAAGAGTTCAACTTTACCTTACCTAGCATTCAGATTATGTGATAAAAAAAGGGGTGTTAGAACAGTACTCACACGTCGACAGTTAATAATCTCCATGTGTTTATTCACTTTTCATTTTAGGCTGATGGACCAGAAGCGAATCGGATTGCTAATATATTGAGTACAAAATTGAATCAGTTGTCTAGATTATGCAAAGATTTATCATTACACGATGCAGGTATTCATCATCGAGACCACCATCAGCCACAGCAGCAGCAGCAGCAACAGTCGCATCAACAACACTCATATAATCCATTGTTTCGATTGGCTAGAACATTAGAAGGCAAATTAGTACAAGCTCAACGTTGGCTTGCTGATCCACGTGGTCCATTACGTCATGTCGGCTTAGAAGCGTGTCGTTCATTGGTACAAGGTGCAAGAGGTATTATACTATCATGTAATAAAGATGATGGTAATCTTAATTCTATTGGTGATAAAATGAATGGTGATAATGGTGGAGTGGAAGACACAGATGTGAATGATGCATGTTTAGAAGCTTGTGAACATGTTGAAAGAGCTGCTGATCGGTTGTTCAAAATGTCCACTCAACCTATAAGTAAGTGTTCCACTGTATATTATGCATTATTACTGTTAAATCTAAAGATGGCGATTGTTTAAACCCACTACACTTCTAGCGAGATTGACACATGGACCCTAAAAATCTCTCTCTGTCTCTAGGGATCACCAATCACTGTGTCTAATTCAGTTGTTCCTACAGGATGTCGATGGTAGCCCTACTGAACACTAACCAGAACGCTGGATGACACGGGTATGCTTCTCATGGTGCGAGTTCGCAGGGAGGGGGTCATTCACGCCCCCCCCCTCGATCTTGCAAATACGCCTGCTTGGCGAGTGCAAATGACCATGTAACCTAGGTAATTCGTGGTTTCTTGTCGATTGCCTCCAACAAACTGATATTATTGAGGTTTATGGGGTATATAACTATAGTCATGATGATAATAATAATTGCTACCTTTAATTTTTTAAATTTTCAATTCAAGGGGGGGGGGTAATCATGGAATTAACTACAAGGAGAAAACTAACAATCTCCTGTTTAAGAATGTACAATCCAAAGTAGGAGCTTACCCTTAGAACAGGTGTAGTTGTGACACATTGGTTTACGGAGACTATTTTCACCGAATTGGGTCACAGGTTCGATGTTTAGGAAGTCACATAGTCGAAGTATTATTAGCCCTCGTACACAAAATATGTGCGACAAAGTTACTGAATGCGTTTCTATTCTTCGTTCCTTAGACCAACAAACTCTAGCGAAACGACCAAGGCCAGTACACGCACAAAATCAATCAATCAGAGAGGGAGAGAGAGAGAAAGTAGCAACCAATCAAAATGAAGGTGACTAGTGTAGAAGAGACGCTAGGTATAAATGAGTGGGTGGGTAATGGGATTCGCTTACAACTACAGTATGTTTAAGGTATGAAGATGGTTTCCAAGATGGTAGACAGGCCTAATATATTCAACAATCATCATTACAGTTGATGTAGAACTACCTATGTGAGACTGCAGGGTAAAAGGAAGGAGAGATGAGATGTCAGTGGTTTGGATACTACCTGTCTACAGAAAACCGACACATTTAACAGGTAAGTATCTAGACTTCACCTCATTTCATCCACTGTCAGTCATTTAAGTCAGGTTTACTCAAATGTCTAAATGATAGATGTAAAATACTCACCCCACTGATCATCATCAAAGGCCATGCTTTAGAACATATGAGAAGCAAAGTAATAACAGCAATACAAATAAGAATAATAACGATAACACGAGTAGAAAGGAGTTCAAAGTCCCTGTTGTGTTACCATATAAGAAAAGAACAGCAGAAACTTTATGTAGGATTCTCAACAAGACTGAAATTAGAGTGGCATTTTGAAATCTAGCAACTGACTCACAGATAAGCTTTATCGACTGGCTTAAAGATCCGAATTCCATGTAATGACTATGAGGTCAAGTAGATAGGTGAAACTAGCCGGTCGAAGATCAGTTATACCACTGGAATATAGGAATTTAGCTAAATATAGGATGACAGACTCCTAAAGTGATCAATAATCTTGAAATACATTCGGGCTGATACCACTTCCCAAGTAAATGGAATGGTCGACAAATCTCACCACTTCACTAGCTCACAGTTCTTAAACTGGTTCATAACTTCAAACTTCAAGCTACAAACTGAGGCGTGAATAACCAGTTCTTAGTGTTAACTTTGAAATACATCGGAGACACCGTTGCGATACCTGATTGTCTATTGTGAGGGTCGGGTGTAGTGTGCTGCAGTTCACTCTATTGTACTCGATGGCTGGAAAACATGGACATTAAAGGTAGAAGACATGAGAAGGCTTCAGGTGTTTGACCAACGTTACCTTCGTGACAAAGACTGTATTTCATGGTGTCACCAGATGAGTAACGTGAAAGTGAGGTGTGTAGAGTTTTTGGGAGGAGAGGTAAGACAGTTTAGTTGTTGCAGTGGTGAAGGTTGGTCAACTGAGATGGCTGTGTGGGAGATGTGTTTGTGTGTGTGTTTAACTATCATCCACCTTGTCGTACAATGTTGTGTGAAGTAGGTTGATGCTTGGAGAAGGTTGGGGTTGAATGAGCGGCGAGACTGGAAGATGGCATCAATGCATGAAGTTGTTGACTGTTGGTTTGAACTATGTTTAGCGATATAGACTAGCGATTGAAGATGATTTGCCTGTAAATCGATATCAGTGGCTCAGTGAAAGAAAATGGTTCAAAATGTATAATGGAATTTAAGGGATATACGTATCGCTAACAGTATGATTTATCTCGTCACTTTTGACAAGTGGATAAGTTGATGAAATTATATTGGGTTGGTACAGTTGTCCCTGATGTTCATAGTCTTGAAGTTTCAGTACAAAATATATAGACAACCAGAAGAAGTAGCAATGGGATCATCAATATCCCCAATCCTTGCAGATATATTTATCCATATTCGGCTAAACATACCTTTACGGACGTATTATTCTTCACCTAAGATAGATATTTAGTAAAACAAACAATGTGAGCGAAGAAATATTTCTTTTCAATTAGTTCCTCATCAATGGCTCTACACTAACACATGGCATTTTCAAACGTAAAATTACATACCTATCTAGTGGTGAGAGTTGTTCAGTGAAAGGTTATCAATCTCAAAGTTTCAAGAAGGTGATAATTGATCAGGTAATTAAGACAGTTAACTAAAGCAAAGATTAATTATTGTAGAAAGATTTTGTGAACAGGTTCTTACATAATTGATATTTAGTATAATGATAACTAAAGAGCGAAAATGAACTGTTACGTAAACTGGTAAATTGTTGACGGTAATTAGAGACAGTAGGGGGAGAGAAAGATGGTAATAATAATAATAATAATAATAATAATAATAATAATAATAATAATAATGGAGTTATTGAAATACTAGTTATAGTGAATTGTGTGGTGGATGAAATGAAGAGTCTTGTTGTAATAAATGAGCTATACAGATGGCCAAGGCAAAGAAAGAGGCTGTACGAATCTCTTCTGAACACACAGACTTGGCTTGTGTAGGTGGATTCCTATGGCTTCTGCTGTATGTAAAAGACGAACTCGTGGAGCATGGGTGAGGTGAGGAGGAATGTGATAAATAACTTTAAAGGCATTATGAATGTTAACTCGGTGGCCGGTGTCAATGAGATGAGAGAGTATTGAGCTTCGTGTCAGTCTGGTTTCCCCCTAACTTAGCCATGAAGGATGATGCTCGGCGATTCGACGACGGACTTGTGTAACTGTACGTTCAATGTAACTAGCTCCACAGGAGCAGTTCAACTGGTAAATGCACATTGAAGAGGAGAAGTCAGAGAGTCTATCTTTAGTTCGTGTGGTCATCATCGGTCGGCTGTAGAAAACACAACATAACTTGGTGGCATTAAATGATCTTCTTATGGCATTTCTTAAGCGTTGTGTCACAATTTCGCTGATGATGTCACCTCGAAATTGTAGTCTTAGAAACAATGACCAATTATCACCTTCTTGAAACTTTGAGATTGATAACCTTTCACTGAACAACTCTCACCACTAGATTGGTATGTAATTTTACATTTGAAAATGCTACATATATTAGTGTGGAGCCATTAATGAGGAAGTAATTGAAAAGAAATATTTCTTCGCTTACATTGTTTGTTTTAACAAAATGTCTAAATGGGAATTTTTGCATCTAGCTAGCTGTTGAATGAGGTTGATAAAGGTTTGTTGTATTCCGTAGTGTTGAAGCAACTGCCTGCTAAATTACTTCTTAGTCGACGCTGTCAAAGGCCTTCTCATAGTCAATGGAGTTGAGGTAGCGAGTTGACTGCCATTCTATACTCTGTTGTATCATGATGTGTTGCGTTGCAATTTGGTCCGCACATGATTTGTACTTCATGAATCCAGCTAGTCAGCCTGTTCGGGTAGTAGTTTTGAATCCAGCGCATCTTTTAGTCACTGCAGGATGATGTCACTTAGTAGTTTGCTTGGGGTGGACAGGAGTGGAGCACGATTCCGTACCAGGTTTTGCAAACACTTAGGTCGCCCTTCTTCGGCAGTTTGACAAGGTAACCCTCCTTCCCTCTCTTCCCTCTCTTACCCCCTCTCTTCCTTCAACACCTTCTGCAATAGTGGTGTGGTGTGAGCATGTCCGCTGTTGTCTCTGCGTCTGTTCTCAGGGCTTCTGGCGGGATCCCATCTGGTCCTGTTGCTTTCCCGCATTTCAGTAGCTATAACTAGTATTGTAATAGCTCTATTGTTATCATTATTATTACAGACTTAGCCATCTTTCTCTCCCCCTACTGTCTCTAACTGCCGTCAACAATTTACCATTTCACGTAACAGTTCATTTTCGCTCTTTAGTAATAATCATACAAAACATCAATTATGTAAGAACCTGTTCACAAAATCTTCCTACGATAAATAATCTTTGCTTTAGTTAACTGTCTTAATTACCTGATCTGATCAATTATCACCTTGTTGATACTTTGAGATTGATAACCTTTCATTGAACAACCCCCACCACTAGATTAGTATGTAATTTTACGGTTGAAAATGCCATGTGTTAGTGTAGAGCCATTGATGAGGAAGTAATTGAAAAGAAATATTTCTTCGCTCACATTGTTTGTTTTATCTCTCTCTCTAATTAACGCAATATAAACGAAATCTAGTTAAATGTTTGGTCCATCGGGCTAGACTCATCTGTTCAGATGATACTTTTGACGAAGAGCTTCAAATTATCCACGATCTACTCAGTAGTAATGGATATCCAGAAACGTTTCTGGCTAAAAATATGGACACATCCAAATATGAAAACTAGAATGCCTACAGTCTCCAAGAAACTATTGTTCCTAAGACTACAATTTCGAGGTGACATCATCAGCGAAATTGTTACACAACGCTTAAGAAATGCCATAAGAAGATCATTTAATGCCACCAAGTTATGTTGTGTTTTCTACAGCCGACCGATGATGACCACACGAACTAAAGATAGACTCCCTGACTTCTCCTCTTCTATGTGCATTTACCAGTTGAACTGCTCCTGTGGAGCTAGTTACATTGGACGTACAGTTAGGCAAGTCCGTCGTCGAATCGACGAGCATCATCCTTCATTGCTAAGTAAGGGGGAAACCAGATTGATACAAAGCTCAATACTCTCTCATCTGATTGACACCGGCCACCGAGTTAACATTCATAATGCCTTTAAAGTTATTTATCATATTCCTTCTCACCTCACCCATCCTCTACGAGTCCGTCTTTTACATACAGCAGAAGCCATAGGAATCCACCTACACAAGCCAAGTCTGTGTGTTCAGAAGAGATTCGTACAGCCTCTTATACAGCCTCATTATACAATACGATAATTAATCTTTGCTTTAGTTAACTGTCTTAATTACCTGATCAGTTATCACCTTGTTGATACTTTGAGATTGATAACCTTTCACTGAACAACTCTCACCACTAGATTAGTATGTAATTTTACGTTTGAAAATGCCATATGTTAGTGTAGAGCCATTGATGAGGAAGTAATTGAAAAGAAATATTTCTTCGCTCATATTGTTTGTTTTAACAAAATGTCTAAATGGGAATTTCGGCATTACTAAGATAGATATGTTGGCGATATGTAAACACCATATAAACACTATAATATTTATCATCAGGATCATTACTATAACCATTATTACTGTTATTATTATTATTATTGGTAATAGTATCATTATCATTACTATTACTGTTATTATCCTTTGTATTATCACTATCATAAGCATCATTGCCATTATTATTTAATTAGCTTCAGAGACTGGAAATGCTCAACAAGATTTAGCATTGGCAATTAGTCGTAGTTTAGCGCATGTTTGGCAAACATTAGTGAAAATATTAACTAGTCAAGTTGCTGAAGCCTATACTGATCTTGTTGGACCTTTACGCCAATTAGTTGAGTCAGTGTCACCATCTTCTGGCAATCAACCAGATCAAAATGAGTATAATGAGAGAATGAAAGATTTTCTAGTAAGTATACTCTTCATATGTCTATTTCACTTTTGATTTTCTTCATATGTGTTGAGTACAACTTTGGGAGGGAGGGGGTGGGTGGGTGGGTGGGTTCACCCTTGACTAAGATGAGACCACTCATATGACATCAGTGTTGAACTTGAAGCACAAGTATTGCATCGCATTTGTGTATGTTATCTGTATTGTAATTAGTAAGCTGTAGTATATTAGTTTCCATCTAGGTGATTCATTGGTTTAGACAGCTAAAATGCGACTAAGGGATCAATTTGTGTTACACATGGTATATTGTTAGCATGTTTAGAGGCAGTTGGCAAAAATCATTAGTTCTTGACACTTATCATCAGCAAGGCATGTCTGCAACCTCGACAGAACTGACCTCCCATCGAAGATTCGAACCCGCTGTAGTAGTACCCAATATCCCAGTCAGCGACGACATTGCCACTGGACTATTTGGGCTTTGATCCAACACCTATGTAGGATTGGATAATTGACATTGATCGGCAACCTACCAAATCATAAAGCAAAGTATTCAAAACAATTCAATCAGCGCTTTGGACTAGACTATATGAATTCGGTTACCCTCCAGTAAGCAATCGATGCATGTTTAACGTGTTCACAATTATGGCAAGCGGGTAGTTTAATTAATTTAGAAGGAAAATGCATTCCCCCCCCCCTATTTGTTTTGTGTTGTATTTTCCAATAAGATTGACTAGATCCTTGAAAAAGTAGCCTTACCTTTATGAAGCGTTTTGACAACAAATCCTTACACATGAGTTTCGAGAAAATGATATATGACCATTATTGTAATGCTGAGATTGGCTGAAGGGGTTTGAAATCATTTGTGTTTATATCCTTAGAAAGGTTTGAAGATAGCTAAGATCATCACAAACTGTTGTTGTAATACACTTTCTCTTACCTTATCACCTTTTCTACTTTCTGAGAATCTAAACAACCATTGTAAACCCTCCCAGTTCCCGCATGTGTACCGAATTTATAAACTTTGTTGCTTAATTCCATTTTAGTCAAGGAACAATATCATTCATCGACCATATTCATATCAGTAAATAACTCCACAAGTCAGACAGAGAAAGAGGGAGAAAGAGAGTTTATCTAGTTCTAATTCCCTCTCCCTCTATGTAACAAGACAAGGGTAGTAGAAGTTTCCATATATCTGAGACAAGTGCAGAATATTCCTGTTACTGAATGTATTTGATGTTGAATCGATAAACAATAATCATTCGGTTATCAATCTCTCCCCCTCCCCCCATCCTTCTAACTAAGCGACAGCATTAAAAACTAACTTAGCTCGGTGGAGGGAAGGAGACATTCACAAGTGAATGATTATGACCGCTGCTTCGAATCTAACCGTGGTCCAAATTATCATTTCCCCGTCAATCATCACCCAGTATAATTTTTATTCTCAATATTCATATCAGATAACTCCACAACTTTGAGACAGTTTTACATGGACCTAATTTTCTTTCCTTTCCGAAACGCAGCATTAGATTCTTGGTACAATATAAATTCAGTAGTGAAGGCAATCCAATTTACCTGTGACATAGTAAATCATAAAGGTGAGCCAGCAACTGTTGCATTCCAAGATTAAACGATAACAAGATGGAAGCTTAGACACTACTATCGTCTATGGGATTCTCGTCTATAGAATCCTCACTCACCACACTTCAAATCAACATCTCACTCCATCTCAGTTAAAGTAAACTTAGTTGAATGCCTTAGTGATGATAGGGCAATACAGCTAACAAGTAGGCAAGAAAATTCATGACAACAGACTAAACACATCAAGAATACTTTGAGTCTGAATAATTACTCACCTGAATTCATAGGAAATCGAGGGGAGAATATGAGTAGTAGTAGTAGTAGTAATAATACTACTATGAGTAATACATGGTAATAGGGTGGAGAGAGAATTCGAAGCCTCTGTGGGTGATGTTGTTACCATACGAAGAGGGGATCTCGGAAGTATTACGACAATCTATCAATAAGTCTAGCTGGGATTGAAGTGGCTGGTATTTAAACTAACAAACTCGCTTAGAAACAAGTTTTATATGTTGACAGATCTTACTGATGCAATTAGACAGAATAGTTTGACTTACCCAAATCCCTTGTAATGATTGTCAGGTGAAATATATTGGTGAAAGTAGTCGACTAGAGTCAGTTAGAATAACAGAGTACAAAAGGTTAGCTAACTAGTATGCGACTCCATAGCAGTGCGCACACCCCAACCCCGCTCACTACAAGCGTCGAACCCAGTACCTTTTAGGCTCCGTGGTCAGCAAATGGGCCAAAATCCACTGGTCATATTTCCTACTTCTGTCAATTCACGACATAGCCTGACCATCATCCAACGTCATTGCTGAATGTTCATCATCACGGTTACCAGGTTTGCCCCATCGATAAAGATTATCAATTAACAAGCTGAAGTCTGGTAACCGAAAACTGAGCATCATTGTTCAACTTTGAAAATTAACTCATTGACAAAAAATAAACAAATAGAAAACATTCTTTAGCCAGTAGACGATATATTAGGCGCTGAATACTTCCTCCTTTTTAACAAGTGAACTTGAAGTATTATCTACGTTCTACTCAAGTATTATAATTTAATAGTCAGTACAGTTCTTGTCACACGAACTTGAAGATCTACAGGCGTAAACTAACAAGTTGACAGAAGAGGCAGGATAGCGAAAACGGGAATTCAACTGGATGTAGAGAAGACAGAGGTGATAAGATACTCAACCAACACCAACAACAATCACCATCAATGGGAGAAACTTAAAAGAAGTAGGCTCTCGCACCTACTCACCTAGGCAGCACTCTCTCAACTACAGGCAGCACAGACACACATGAGGATGTCAAAACCAGACAGGATTGGAAAGACAGCAAGACACGCCTTCATTAACCTGAAACCAGTGTGCACATCTTCTCCACTCAACTCAGAACAAACCGTGAACAACATCCGGATTTTCAACACCAACCCAGTCAAGTCAGTGCTCTTGTATGGCTCAGACACTTGGCGCGTCACGAAAAGCATTTCCAACAAAATAGAAACATTCATCAACAACTGCCACCTACGCTGGCTCCTTACTGAAGATGGTGATCACATGGCCAGAATAATAAGAATAAGCAACAAGGAACTCTGGCTGACTGGCTGGTTGGCTGGCAACGAACCAACGAAGCAAGAACCTAACGTTGAACAGATATGCACTGTAAGTAAGTGGAGATGGATAGGGCATACACTGAGAAGGTCGATTGAGGACATCACGCGTCAGGCCAGTCACTCGAGTGGAACCCAGATAGGAAACGACGAGCCTGGCGTCTGAGGGTGACATGGAGTAGATCGTGTGAAGAAGGAATGGAAGCTTGTAGGGAGTCGTGAAGCGAGGTTGAAAAGACTACAGAGAACAGAGTGCACTGGAGACGTGCTACTGAAGCCCTATGTTCCATTAGGAACCCAAGGGACAAGTAGTAATAATTATACAGTTTTTATAATCAGTGGAAAAGTAGGAAATATGAATTTTATCAGATAAATGTTGTCATTGGTCATATTATTTAAAGGAATAAATGACTGAGATAAGGAGTACAATAGATAAATAAACAGATAAAAATCAGTCTACTTGAATACATCAGCTTTAGAATGACAGACAAGGAATCTGGAGAAGAATTCACTCATTACTAGACATTCAATCGCACACTGTCGAGTGGGATAAACTAATTAAGTGGCAAAGGAGATAAGTGAAACCCTTTTTCTTTACATCGAAACAACATGAAACGTGTGCAATACAACGGATACATGAGGAATCTTTCTACAAACAAAATCAAAGAAGAGGAAGTAGGAATATTAAAAGTCAAGTTAAGATGATGTGATTATGGGTGCTAGTTTGTGTTCGAAACGTCATCCAGTAAACCAATCGATCTGATCTGCAATTAATACACCACTGACTGACATGAGTAATTGCAGTTCTCATTAGCCGGATGAAAATGTTGTCAACACCGGACGGTCATTTTCTCTCCTTTCAGTTCGAACTCATCAGTGGTATACGTGGAATGGTTCAGTTCAGGAGGCCGAATTGTTTAAACCACCCAGTAGAATCGCGCAAAATCTCACTGAAATGATTTACTTAACGTCACAATTGAGTGTGAAGCTGCACGCTTTATACTACTGAGTGATATGAGTAGTTCTCACCACGAATTGTATATATTTCTCTGGAACCATGCAGGCAATTAAGACTTCCCAGGTGCTAGTTCTTCTTGAGGTACTTAACGCCGGAAGACCGTGGAGCATGGTGTATTGTGCTAGTTTACGAGTCGACTTTTTCTAGCCCCTCTCATTCTCTAAGGGAAGGTACCATCAGCCTAGCACTACTAGTCATCCAAAGGAAACACCCTTCACTGCTATCAGCCCTCCCCTGTCCATTCATCAGTACCATTTCGTCCTCAGGCCCCGCATTATGGTGTAGGATTTTTCGCTATAAAGATAACTGGTTTTCATCTAAGCACTATTCAACAGACCTTTCTGACATATTAGGACCTCAAGGGAACAAGGGCTTAATCATCAGTATAGCTCGCCGGGTCATTCTGATGTACAAGCTGGACTACCAATTCAATGTAGCATCTATCAGTAAGGCAACTATTCCTCTGGTCTTCAATGATAAAAGTCTAAGTGACACTAATATGTTGAATGCGACTGTAGTTTGGCACTAGTCACTTAGGAAGGTTACTTCATCAGTTCCTTGAATGATAAACCTAAAATTTGCTGCTGGCATCTATACAAACCTTGTATCAAGATATTCATTGACTATACAACATGATTAGTCAATCCGAATATATCTGAACACGCATCTCTAGACCTCTGTTACCATTAAAATTTGGGTGATATCATTTTGAAGCGGTGAGTGTTAATGAGAAGACATCCTACAATCACCAATTAGCAAGTTTCAATCATCAATGTGTTGAATATGCACGCATAGAAGTGGTGTCCATCGATCCATCTAAATTAGCGTAAGGCCAGGCATTACTGCGTTATGGTCCGAGTTGACGCATCTCATCATCAAGTAAAAAGGCAGTGAAGTAGAAGATGAAGATGAGGATAACATGTGTATACGTCTGCGCCATTGACTTCGGTTCTCAGCCATACCACTACCTAGAGTCTCCAACCAATGGTTTCTCTTGTCCCGCGGACGCCAACCACCTAATCTACATAGCCCCACATGGCTCAAGCCAACAGTCAGAGACTTCATACATTGGTGCCATGTTTCAGTCTGGCCACCTCGGGCCTTTTCCAGCCTGAAGCTACTTCGGTCATCATTGTGACAAGGCAATCGGCGACTAGACATACGTAACACATGTCGGAGCCAACCGTCTCAGTCAAGGAAGGTATACAACCGTGTTAACTGACTTACCTCTTCTCCCTAAAAGTCTATATCAGGCTTCTGCATTGCTCCCGCGGTGATACCGAGGAATATGACCTATATTACGAAGGTAACGGTGGTCAGACACTTGAAGCCTTCTCATGCCTTTCACTTTCAATGGTCATGTTTCACAACCATACAGTAGAACAGACCGCACTGCTGTGTAGTAGACGCAACCCTTAATAGACAATCGAATATCACGGCGGCGTAAGTTGGCGAAATCCAGCCAGCCTCATGTATTCGTGCGGATTTCATCAGCTACTGAGCCACTAGGGCTGATCCTACCTCCCAAGTAAGTGAACTGGTCGACACATTCAATCACTACACTCTCTATTGTTAGCCATGGCATCACTGAAGACCAATCCTGGAGCAACAATTTGCATTTGTGTAGTGAGAACTGCATCCTAAACATTCTTAAATTCCCACTCAAAATGTCCATAAAACTCTGCATCTTGTCAACGTCTTCACTTAACACGACTAAATCATCTGCATATTCTAGGTCTTAAGAAAATCCTCCTGTAATGAAGTCAACCTCTGTGTAGTTAGATGTCCCCTTTGCTTAAGGTATCAACCAACCATCTGATATCTATCTAAGTGCACCACCAAGATGGAGAGCCTTCTAGCTAGGTGGTCACATTACGAGGAAATGATCGATAGAAGATTCGGTCAGAAATCAACAGGACTAAAAAACATGACCGATCAATGTATACGAAAAGTTCATTTGTCACCTATTTACTTATGTTATCTTTGCTGACAGCTGGCAACAACAACAGCAATTCGATCTGTCAGATATACTCAGTGAAACATATGAAGAGATTACCCATTTTCGAAAACACGTATCTTGGCAGCATTGTTCACGTATAATAGAATAATTGTGTGAGTAGTTTGAATTTTAGGTGAAGAATACTAGGCAAGATAGAAAAGTTGTTGCATGACATTGAGAATTTTCATGGTGGCCACCGTCCACCTGAATGTTAAAGTATCCAAGGCAAGAATGATGGGATTAGTCAATGAAGTTTTTGACTGTTTACCTTAGTCGAGTAAAGATGTGTAGACTAGTTGATAGCAATACTCGAGAAGACAGGATATACCTGAAAATCAGTCAAAATGGTCCAGATGTACTCACTCTTTAACGTCTTCAGAAACATTCACCTTTCAAACATATTTATCTGCATTGATATTTACTTGTTCTCTTCATACTGTTATGAAATGTGCGGCAGTTTAAACCGATGCACTTCTGTGGACTATCCCGTGTCAGTTAAATGGTATCATATAGAGAGGAACCTCATCCTCGTGCACCCATTTCATCTTCTCTTAAAGAAAGATATATAAGAAAGATATCTTGTATATTAATGATCTCTGAATATGTACAACTGGGATTAGAATATAAAAGTGGAAAATACTATCTACCCTCTTAGGATTTCATTATTGTATAATATGCTCAAGAATACCTTGTCGGATTAATGCTTCACAGTCTGTTCTATGCATTAAATGATGACTACCTTTAGTTAATTGAAGAATACTACCATCTTCTGTTTCATATTCACCGAAATCTTGTAAACATCGAACCTCTAAGAATAATGATTTCGGTGGTATACGATATTGTGTTATATCTAATAATCCACCACCACCACCACGTTCTGATGGATCTGATTGCATAAAATTTGCTAGACAACTACAATAATGCTTAAACCATACTTGTTCACCTTCAGATAAATTATCACGGATATCTATAGAGGAGGGAAAAGATAAATGAAAAACATGCAAACCACTATTATTATTATTATTATTATTATTATTATTATTATGGACATCATCATAATGATTATATTATTATCACTATTACGTCACCATTATAAGTATTACTATTATTATTATTAGTATTGATTATCATTATAATAATTATACTGGCTCGGAATCACTCTCCTGTCCACCTAAAGCAAGCAAAATATTATGCCGCATCATCCTGGAGATACTAAAGCATGCGCTGGATTCAAAACTACTACCCGAACAAGCTGACTGGCTGGATTCACGAAGTAGAAATCATGTGCCGACTAAATTGCAACACTACGCTACTCATCATCATAGAACAGAGTATAGAATGGCAGTCAACTGTACCTCTGCCTCAACTTCATCGACTTTGAAAAGGCCTTCGACAGCGTCGACTGAGAGGCAATTTGGAAACTGCTTCAATACTACAGAATACCACAAACCTTTATCAATCTCATTCAACAGCTAGCTCTATATGAAGACGCCACATCCCAAGTAATTCACAATGGAAAGCTCAGTGATGCCTCTGAAGTGAAGTGAAGACAGGAGTGAGACTAGACAAGGCTGCTGTCTACTTTCACCCATGATATTCCTGATTGTGTTGTCGTCGACTGGACTGGATCATGCAACAAACAATGAGGAGGAGAGAGAAGAGGGGGATACGCTGACTGTAACGGCGAAAAGAACCTAGATGATTTGGATTTCGCCAACCATGATCACTTGTGTCTAATGTCACACAAACTTGAAGATCTACAGGCGAAAACTAACAAGTTGACAGAAGAGGCAGGATGGTGAAAACGGGAATCCAACTGAATGTAGAGAAGACAGAGGTGATAAGATACTCAACCAACACCAACAACAATCACCATCACCATCAATGGGAGAAACCTAAAAGAAGTAGGCTCTCTCACCTACCCACCTAGGCAGCACTCTCTCAACTACAGGCAGCACACGCACACACGAGGATATCAAAACCAGACAGGATAGGAAAGACAGCAAGACACGCCTTCATTAACCTGAAACCAGTGTGCACATCTTCTCCACTCAACTCAGCACAAAGCGTGAACAACGTCCGATTTTCAACACCAACCCAGTGAAGTCAATGCTCTTGTATGGCTCAGAGACTTGGCGCGTCACGAAAGGCATTTCCAACAAACTACAGACATTCATCAACAACTGCCACCTACGCTGGCTCCTCACTGAAGATGGTGATCAGATGGCCAGAATAATAAGAATAAGCAACAAGGAACTCTGGCTGACTGGCTGGCTGGCAACGAACCAACGAAGCAAGAACCTGTCGCTGAACAAATATGCACTGGAAGGAAGTGGAGATGGATAGCGCATACACTGAGAAGGCCGATTGAGGACATCACGCATCAGGCCAGTCACTCGAGTGGAACCCAGATGGGAAGCGACGAGATGGGCGTCTGAGACTAGGGTGACATGGAGGAGATTATGCGAGGAAGAAATAAGAGCTTGTGGGCTGTCGTGGAACCAGTTTCAAAAGTTTGCAGAGAACAGAGTGCGCTGTGGACGTGCTACTGAAGCCCTATGTTCCATAAGGAACCCAAGGGACTAATAATAATAGTAATATAATAATAATCATATTGTTATTAGCATCATATTTGCTATCACTACCACTATTATGTTGTTAACATCAGTATTATTAGATTACTACTGTTGGTATCATCATAATAATTACACTACTGCGATTATTATTATTATTATTATACTAACATAACCACTATTATTGCTGTTATGACTACTGTTATATTAGTATAATGGTTTTTATATCATACCGTCGTTGATCGGACCGAATTGATCGGTCTCTATTAGCATATGGGCTGCTGTGCTCATGCCTCAATATTGTGAGCGTGGGAACAACATCACTCGGCACTAGGAGGTAGGTACATCCAGCTGACGAATCCCAAATAGGACGAAATGCGCATCCTGGATTCCACTGCTAGCCACGATCCATCATTAACATAATTAGAACGCTGGCAATATCGAGGCATCCGCACAGGAGCCCATATGCTAATAGAGATCGATCAATTCAGTCCAATCAACGACGGTATCATATAAAAACAATTATACTAAAAACTATACCCGTCGCACAAGAAATAGCTATCGTGGCTAGGTGGTGTAGTGGATAACATCCACCGAGAAGCAGGTTCATCCAGCTGACGAGTCCCAAACAGAACGAAATGCGCATCCTGGATTCCATTGCTAGCCACAACCCACTATTAACATACTGTTATATTATTATTTCGAATACTTGAGATTTCTGCACGGATACAAAAGGCTGGATTGGCTATTGCCAATTTGTGCCACCTATGGCACCGCCGTGATATTCGTTTGTCTATTAAGCGTCGCGTGTACTGCACAGCAGTCCACTCTGTTCTACTGTATGGCTGTGAAACATGGCCATTGAAAGTGGAAGATATAAAAAGGCTTCAGGTATTTGACCACCGTTGCCTTCGTAGTGTTGTAGGCCGTATTCCGTGGTGTCACCACACCATGTGAGTAATGCAGAAGTTAGGTGTAGAGTTTTGGAGAGAAGAGGTGAGTCAGTTGACGAGGTTATGAACCTTCATCGACTGAGATGGTTGGGACACGTACTACGTATGCCTAGTCACCGATTGCCTCGTCACACAATGTTGGCTGAGGTGGGTCCAGGCTGGAAAAAGGCCCGGGGTGGCCAGACTAAAACATGGCACCAATGTATGAAGTCTCTGACTGTTGGTTTAAGCCATGTGGGGAGATGCAGACTAGGTGGTTGGGGTCCAAGGGACAAGAGGAACCAGTGGTTGGAGACCCTAGGTGATATGGCTCAGAACCGAAGTCAGTGGCGCAGATGTATCCCTACACACACATATCCTCATCTTCACAAAGCTATACTGAATCTCACCATTTTGTCACTCCTCTTTCCTTTCTTCTCGTACTTTATATTTCTTTTGACTGCATTCACTCATCTTCATCCTTCGCCCCACTACCTTTTTACTTGGTGTGGTGATATGAGGTGTGGCAAGTTGGACCGTTACACAGTAATGCCTGGTCCTATGTTGATAATGATGATTTCGAATACTGCTGTATTATTATTGCCAGTACTATTATTCTCAATATCGCTGTTATTACTATATTATTGTTTTTAATATCACCATGAATACCATTAGCATCATCGCATTATTATTATGGTTCGAAGAAGACGGCTAACGCGTATTTGGATTTAATGAAGTTACGATATATCGGCTTCAGGCTTCCGATTAATAAGCCTTCATTTACCTGAATTGACCTACAAAAAAAACCCCTGCAAACCTTGGTAGTTGATAGAAATACGCCGTTTAGTTGAAGGATTCAACTCTGATAGCCATGTTTCAATGAGAAATGTTGACAAAATTCAGAGGAGAACGATAAAAATCTTACTGATATCCAATTAAAAACATGATAATAGATTATAAATAAGGCTGGTAACATTTTGTTTGCACAGTCTATAGACTTTCTGGCTGGTGATTGATTATAACATCTTCATTTTCTAGACTTCAATATTCTTCTTTTGATGACGTCTCTAACATCATTTTGAGATAGTTAAAAGTAAAAGTCACCAAGCAATGACTGAGTTTTAATAATAGCTATCTTCGTAACATTACTCGCAATGTTGAGGTTAGGCGAAAGGTATTAGACAAGGCAGGCACGTCAATCGATGAAGTTGTGAACTTTAGTTGGCTGAGATGGCTTTCGCATGTATTGTGCATGCCAAGCCATCGTCTATCTCGAAACACTATGTTAGGGGAAGTTGGATTCGGGTTTGAAGAGGGTTTCTGATGGCCAGACGAAGACGTGATGTCAGTCAATGAGGTCTCTGACTATTGGTCTACTTGGATGGGAGCCCCGAGAAGAAAAGGAATCAGTGGTTGAGATGCCTGGAAATCGATCACAATGGCATAGATTTATTCTCTCTTCGACGTCTTAAGTTTGAACATCATACTGACGTTTATTTTTAAATTCCTTTTACCTTCGATACACACCTTTGTTTACATTGATATGAGTCTTTTTCTATCCACTTGTCTTTTACATGCTACTGTAAAGTGTGTGGACTTCTGTGTGAAGTGCTTCTATGCTGATTTCGTCTATATGTCAGGGTTGCAGATATCCATGTAGAATAGAACAACTTTCTACATTCAAAATCGTAAGAATAAATTACTAGAGATAATAATTTCAATGAAAAAAATTACCTTTAGGTAAAATAATACCATACTCCCAACGTAATTCAGCAATTCGCATTAATCTAGCATGATGATAGGCGAGAAGACAACGTTTATTCCGTTCCAGAACAGCGTGTCGAACGAGAACAGATTGAATTTTATTACTATGATCTTCTGTTCCAGACAATAGTGATGATGATGAGGCTTCAGATGCGGAACTAGACACAAGAGCTACATCACGATAATTTGCATCATATAAAGTTCGCATTTCTTCAAGACAGACACGAATTTTATCTTCATTGTATGCAGGTAGTTTACTTTGTTGTGAACGTTTCAATTCTTTGATTAGTTGAAGACTTGTCTGGGCTAACATCTGTAAACTTTAAGAGGAGAAACAATTTATTGAGGATAAACTGAATGATGGCAGCGATAAAACAAAAAGGTAAGTAAAATTCTTTATGTAACAAGATCTATATAGTGTGCGGTTATCAAATATGCCTACTCTCTCCATTTCTATTCAATTTTATCATAGATGTTCTTATGGAGGTCTCCGCCTCATCATCTGACCACATAGGAGAACTTCTGGTAAACCTAGGATACGAAGATGATATACTCCTGTTAGGTGAAGACGCTGACTAGATGCAGAGTCTTCTGGACACCTTCAGTGGAAATTCGAGAATGTTTCGGATGCGCTTCACGTCTTCGACGGCATCCCAGCTAACAACAAAAGTGTTGACCACTTCACTTACATGTGAAGTCGGATCAACCCTGGTATGTGGGTCAGTGGTGGACGAAATCTCTGCACGGATACAAAAGGCTCGGTTGGCTTTTGCCAACTTACGCCATCTGTAACGCTACCGCGATATCCGATTGTCTATTAAGGGTTGAGTGTGCTGGAGTCCTCTGTGTTCTACTATATGACTGTGAAACATGGCCATTCAAGGTAGAAGACATGAGAAGGCTTTAGGTGTTTGACCACCGTTGCCTTCGTAGCATAGGCCGTGTTTCCTGGTGTCACCATATGAGTGACGCGGAAGTCAGTTGTTGAGTTTCAGGGAGGAGAGGTGCGACAGTTGATGAAGTTGTGAACCTTCATCGACTGAGATGGCTGACTGAGACATATGTCACGTATGCCTAACCACCGTCTGCCTCGTCATACAATGTTGGCCAAAGTTCATGTTGGACATACCATCAATGCATGAAGTCGTTGACAGTTCGTTTGGGTCATGTAGGGCGATATACACTAGCCTAGTTAGGATCCACAAGACAATAGAAACCAGTAGTTGGAGACTCTAGGTAATGATATGACTGAGAATCGATGTCAGTGGCGCAGATGAATCCACACACATCAGCCTGATTATTTTCTCATTTCTCCATTTTGTTGCCCCAGTGTACTGATACGAGGTGTGGTTGGCAACTTGAACCATTACGCAATAATGCCCGATCCTATATCGACCTTGATGATGATATGGTTAACTCTATACACTCTACTAGAAACGTTTGCAATAATAAAAAGCAAAGGCTCAGCTTAACGCTACAAATAAGTTACAGTCCAATAAAGTCCGTTTGCTAAATAACCAAGGCTGAAATCAATTAAAACTATCCTACAGATTTTGTTACTTGTAACAGAAAGCACCAAACATTCACTTTGGTCTCGAGCTCATTACATCATATAAGTCAGTCAAAATCAATATAGAAACTGACATTACTGTATAACGGTAAAAGTTGTCACACCTGACAATCAAGCAAGAATGAACCAAAATGAATGATAAAGCCATAACAAAGAAAATAGTCGAAAGTTGTGAGAAAGTTATGAAAAGACGACAATGAGGAATGAAACAATTGATTAAATTCTGTATAAGGATCAAAATGCAATCGATTGTGAGATATGTCACTTACGGTCTTCAACCACTGGTTTCTATTGGCATATGGACACAAACTGGGAATTCTGCATACTTCCTACATAGATCGGAGTAATAGTTAAAGGTTAGTCTTGCCACCCCTGACCTCATCTCAGTCATTAAAGGTTCATATCTCATCAACTGCTCTAAAACACTACACCTAACTTCTACCTTACTGATATGATGACACCATGATACACGGTGGTCTACTACCTGAAGCCTTCTCATGTCCTCTATCGTTAATACAACAGAAAGTGGATGTGTTACGTATGCTAAGTCATCACCTAACTCGACGGACTTCAAGTTGCCTAGGTCAAAATGTGACACTAGTCAATGAAGTCCCGGGTTATTGGTCTGAGCCATGTGGGGAGATGTGGGTTGCGGCAACTTGAACCGATGCACCTATATGCTAGGATCTACGTTGATTCTATCTATTCTGTGATAAAGCGGACTGCAGAGCAATACGCTTGACTTTTAATAGACAATCGGATATCATGGTGAAAGTCAAGTGAGCCATTTGTATCCGTGTAGAGATTTTGTTGATAATTGACCGTCCAGGGTTGATTCGAATCCCCAGGTCAGTGAAATGGTCAATGCACTCAGTCATTTCACTCCTTACTATTTGACAAGGTACCACTAAAGACCAGTCTTGGAACAACAATTTGCATGGTGAGAAATGCATTCCAAACATTTTCAACTTGTTATTGTAGGCTATGAATTGAAGAGAAAAATGTAAAGCCACAATAGTTAACATATTTCAAGTGTTACATTTACTTCACTGCGGTCTGTAAAATCTCGGATAACAATATGTTTAGGATACTTGATTAATGTAAGATTTAACCTGAAATTGTGCATTGAAACGGTTGGTTTAAACCAAACATATTTAGATTTGTGCTCAATACGTTCACAAGAAAGATCATGACATCCTGTTAAATGTTAAACCGGTGGTCACCAAGTTACTGATAACGCTCTTTCAAGAGTGATTGAATATTCACTATCCCGGTTATGAACTTTCCACTTGCATTGCAACAATTACATCCGATAAATAATTATCCTAAATAGAGCATTTATACTTATATATGGTTAGTATATATATGACTGACTGACTGACCGACCGACTGACTGACCAAACCAACATAGAAACTCGTACACACAAACGTGAATTACATCAAGTTGATACAGTTCACAGTAGTATACAAAGAACGAATGAATAGAAGAAGAGTCATTTCAAAGTGGATTAAGTTGCGTGTGAGAATAAACAATCTGAAGATGACGGTTACTACCAGTATTTAAGCTTTAGAAGATGCCACTGTGACCGATTTCATGCGATGTCACCAAGAGTACTCAATCATTGATTCCTGTCGTCTCGAGGGCATCAGCTAGGCAGTTTATATCTTTCAACAAGACTAAAATAAACAGTAAGAGACTTCATCCACTGATGGCACGTCTTAATCTGTCCGCCTACCATGGCGTGTTGAGGTAGAGAAGAAATCGGTATACGCAGCACATGGCCAAGCCATCTTATCCGACCATGGTACACAACCTCATCAATCGACTTGCCTATCTTGTCTAATACTTTTCACCTGACCCTAATATTGCTCACACGGTGATTCCACCAAACGCGAGAAATTCCACGGAGATACCTATGATCAAAATCTTGTAACCGCTTCACGTCGTCTACTTTCAATGGCCATGTCTCAGCTGTATAACAGGACAAAACGAATTGCAGAGCAGTATACTCGTCGTTTGATAGATAGTCGGATATCTCACCAGTCGTCGCCACAGATGATGCAAGTCAGCAAATGCCAAACAGAACTTTTCTATCCAAGCTGAGGTTTTGTCAGGAATGCAACTTCACATGTAAGTGAGGTGATTGACGCATTTAATCACTTCACTCTCCATCAGTAACTGAGAGTACTTGGAACACACCAGTCCGGTGCAAAATGCATATCAGCTAAACATACTCTGATTACTGTTCAACGCGTCCACAAGATCCTGCATTACCTCAGCGTCTTCACCTAGCAGGTCAATATCATCTGCATACTATAAATCAACCAGATGACCTCTAGAAAGTAGGTCAATCGCTGTGAAGTCAGATGCACCTATGGTTAGATCCTTTAGTATGTCTAAAACGAAGGTAAATGAAAACGGTGACAGTAGACATCCCTGAAGGACACCACAAGTTGTCGTCAATTCACATTACAACTCTCCATAAACCCTGACGCAACTATCAGTTCGGGTAGAGAGCTTTGATTAGCAGTATATACTTGCCCGGTGTGTTCTCCAATCAGACACTGCCACAACACCTCATGGTCAACGGAGTTAAATGTTGCCTTCAGGTCAACAAATGTGGCAAGTGTCTGCCATTGGCCGGTAGGTATTTATGTCTGTCTGAAAGCGGCCTGATTTTCTCGAGTTTGCTTTTCTGGAGCTCCAGTTAGGCCTCAGATAACTATGGACCCTAGGGTCTCGGACATAACATTAGTCAAACTAATTCCTCTGTGGTGGTCCAAAGAACATTTCTCCCCATGTTTTGTAGACTGGGATAATCAGTGAAGTACGCCCATCTCACTGCACTACCTCCGATTCCATACACTACCTAGTACTTCCCAGCACCCTAATCACCAATTTCCTACCTCCATCCTTGAAAACTTCAGGTGAGAAACTGTCAAGTCGTGCTGCTTTGCATCGTCCAGGTTCTATACAGCTTTCTCAACTTCGACGAGAGTTAGAGGACTGACGTCTACGTTCATTAAGGTTCAGGTTGGATGTTGAGCAACTGGAGTGTTCTTGTGGGCCAGCTGAACTTGGCTTCAAGGTATTCTCCCCAACGTTCAAGCCGCCTGTCCTGGGGAGTTATCAGCGTTCCACACTTTTTGGTGATGGTTTCACTCACGATCGTCTTTTTCTTGCCGGTATCCTTAATAAGCTTAAATAGTTGCCGGGTGTTACCCAACGCTGATGCTTTCTCTATCCCCTTGTTTTTGCCACCCACCATTTCTCATGATCGACGCGAAGACTCTTGGTCAATTTATGTTTAAGTTACTTCCACTCTTCATTATAGTCAGAGTCAACTGGAATCAGTCTTCTCCCATCAGTCAGTTAGGATGACGTTGCGGAAATCCAATGACCATTTCTAACTTTCTGCTGTAGATTATTAACTGTTTACCGCTGTTTCTACAGCAAACAATATCACGAGAGGTTTCTTAAGGATGGGCATTAATGTCATGTTCAGATATATGCTTAGCTAATTCCTCTCTAAATGTGTACTTGGTGTTCTCATCTTTCAATCGGGCATGAATAGGTTTTACTCCTGCCTTTTCCTGAGTCCAGCAAGGTGCGAACAGACAACTCTACAAAACATGGTTGTCCGACGAATCGAAGACAGCTGTTACACAGGTGTTATTGCATAAGGTTCAACTTGATAAACACACTGCCTATTAGGGTGGAAGGCACTAAAATGAAATATAAAGTATTCGAAAGCAGTAGAAAATTTTAAGGGAAGGAGATAGAATATGACAGTAACGAAACGTGATATGGAGATCAAGGTGGAGATAATGAGTGGTTGCATCTGCATCAATGAAACTGACCACCAGTTCCGACTGTCAAGTGAACGCAAAACTGAGTCTACATCTCTCTATACGACTCAGACTAACAGTAAGATTTCATAGACTGACATCACCCTTCAGTATGACCGTCCTTAAACATTCCCAGTGTAAAGCTACTTCGGTTAACATTGAGCAACATGGTAGACAGTGAACAGCCACGCGTAATATGTCGCAGCTACTCTGGTCAATAAAGGTTTAAAACTATCGCGTTTACTCGGGATTGGCATATTACATTTTGACGTGGTATTTTACAAAACTTTCAATTATATTTTTGGAAGACCAAGCTTTTATCCAAGTAATAAAGGTGATAGATGTGTGGGTAAAGTAAAAGAAACTTGACTTCAAGTTAAAGACAAACCAAAAGACTTTAGATAACTAATCAGCATCAACGAGTGCCCACCAAACGTATTAACGCCAACAGACGATATTCAATTTGTCAGTTTCCTTTGTTGAACTACGCAGCTCTAAAACGATTACTCAGAACATGTTTATTCAATTGTTGGGATGCATACGAGTTCAACTCAAGGATCCTGGAACCATTTTATGTAAAAATTCCTGTTAAGTTTAGACTAACGGATAATGAATTTAATCAAGTGTTTGAACTATAGTTCAAACAGCATTTACTTTGGGCGCTCTTTAGAACTTTCGGGTTTCACCCGAAGCTACTTCGGGAGCACTTAGCAACTTTTGGGTATTCCCCCTAAATTTCACTTGGCCGCTAACATTTTATTGACTTCTATAACATAAACACATGTAGCACATAAACGTCAAATATTCAGATGAAAATATTACGGATTAAGCCTTCTCATCACTTGTGATTGGGTTATTACAAATCTTCAGGTGCTCTACAGACACTTTGCGTACTTTGGGCGCATCGCAGAAACTTGGGGCGCACTTCGTGACTTTTGGCACTTTCAGGGAAAAGGTTTGAAACATTCAGGGGATATCATGCATCGCCCGATATGCGCCCGAAGTAAAATTTTCGGGTTTTAGCCCGAAACTCTCAATGTGCGCCCAAAGATAATGCTGGATGGGTTGATACTACAAAGTGAGCTATTTCCAATGAAAGTACACTTGTGTATCACGAACCTAACAAATACGGGAAACTTTTATGAAACACCTTCATTTCCGAACACTCAGTATTTATAAATGAAGCTTCCAATAGACCAGTTACGTTTATAGTCTTCCCTGACGAGATTGGTGAGTGCCCCTCAATAGCAATAGGCTTTCCAAGGTCATTTTGCTGGTAAATACCTTACGTTTTCCATTCTTCATCGATGCAAATGCATGAAATTCAGTGAGATTTACATCACTAGCCAAAATGAATAAAAGTGATGCAGCAGGTGAGTGTATCGGAAAACGTAACACCACAAACTGGTAACATGTGGAACAGATTAGCATACACCTTAAGGCTAAAAATGTGCTTGAGAATCGCCAGGCCATGTAGGAGAGAAAGAAACTTATAGGGACAAATTCATACGAGATTAAATGTTGTATTTTTTGTATATTCGCCTGGCATCCCTCAAAAAAGGATTTCCAGCTGAGCTGCCTTAAATTATAGACGGAAAAAAATTAGATAAAAACTGACTTCACATAAAGTCAACAAACCTGCCGCAAACACTGTGGCTAAGATTAGCGCAGCAGTGTTTTCGACCGCCATTCTTTTCAATATCAAAGGATTCTAATAATCATTCCAGTATCCAATGTCTTTTTACCGGCTAGTAGAAACCAATTAATTTTTTGGAGCACGCTTCAAGTTCCTGCTGAATGGTTCCAGGTTCTTGGTGGATTTCGATGCAGTCGGTCTACCCATAAGCTAGCTGTAGCTCTGGTTAGCCCAATATCCAATATTGATAGTGCGAGCGTAGAAAACTGGTAGTTTTTGATCTCTCGCGTCTAGTTCTTAGGGCTTGGTTCCAGTTGTTCGGTTCACTCCTGCAGTGGATGAGGAAATCCCCTCTGCTTTCTTGCTTTTAGCTTCTGTGAGGTGGATGTTTTGTGGGTTAGTAGTTGTAATTTGTAGAGTGGTTAGGGAGCTACGGGTTGCTGGAAGTTTAGAGAACTGCCGTGACTCCTGTCTGTGTAGGTACCTGAAAGAGAATAGTAAGGTAGTGGTAAAGAATGAAGAGAGAATAAAAAAAGGGGGGAAAAATAATAATAATAATAATAATATAGTGAAGAGAAAGGGAAGGAGGAGAAAAGGAGGGGTGAAAAGAGAACGAAAGAAAAGTATTTGGGAATTGCCCGAATGGTCGCGTGGGTTTGGTTCCTACAGAAGAATTAGTAGGTAATGTGGGTGTATTAAGGAGAGAGATAGTGAGTGGTAGTTAGGAGGGAGTTGGGGGCTACTGAGGTTGGTGACTACCTGAGTACGTCCGTGGTAGTCCATGCGAGGTGACATAACTGTCTAATCGCCTCTTGAAAGAGTCGACTGAAGGAGCTATAACGATGTGTCGCGGTAAGGCATTCCATAAAGCACATACTCTTAGGGAGAAAAATTTGGACCTGAGTGTGGTGTTGGCTCTCTGGTGTGCTATCTTAATGGGGTTTCCTCGTGAAGATCGTTCAGTTGCAGGCAAAATTGATTTGTTTGCATGGTCTGCCTGATGGGCGATCTTGTATGCCATAATGAGGTCACCCCTTTTCCTGCGATAACCCAAGGTAAATAGGTTGAGGTGTTTAAGTCTTTCAGGATACGTCTTTCCCCTTAGCCCCACAACTGATTTTGTTGCAGTTCTTTGTATTCTTTCAAGGAGATTAGAGTCTCTCTTGAGTGTTGGAGGAGCCACCGTATTGAAGACCTCTAGGTGCGGCCGCACGTAGGATTTGAAAATGGTGAGGAAGAGTTCGGGAGTGAGGGCGCCAAGCTGTCTACGCAGAAAGTGTAGAATGGCGTTCGCTCTGGTTGTCATACCTTTGTAGTTGGAGCTGGTGTCCAAGGTGTCGGAGAAGTTGAGCCCCAAATCTTTCTCCATGGACACTCTGGTGATAGCACGGTTGCTCAACATGTACTGGAAGTCGGTCGTACTTGCCTCATTTTTACTGATGTGCATTACTTTGCACTTTTCCAGTTGAAGCTCAGGCCATTTTCCGACGACCAGAGCTCGAGTTGCTGCAAGTCCTTTTGTAGTGCTGCACAGTCGCTTCTTCGTTTACCACCCTCCAAATTTTTATGTCGTCAGCGAAGAGGAGGATGGGTGAGGATATTTTGTCTGGCAGATCGTTGACAAAGAGGAGGAACAGAAGCGGTCCTAGGATTGCTCCTTGGGATACTCCTGACGTCGAGGGTCTCCACTCCGACCTTATTCTGTTCACTTTAGTGCAGAACTGCCTCCCTTCCAGGTACTCCTTGAACCAAGAGAGTAGGGGTCCACTTATACCAGCTGACATGATCTTGTGAAGCAGTACTGTGGGTGGGACACTGTCAAATGCTTTGGCTAGGTCGAGAAATACAACATGTACAGGTTTTCTATTATCCCAGCTTTGTGTCCAGTCGTCCCAGGCGTTAGTAAGTTGGTGGCACATGAGCGACCACTACGAAAGCCGTGCTGAGCAGTGTGGACAGTGTTTTCCTATTGAGGAATTCCCAGATGGTGTCAGCTACCAGGCTTTCCAACACTTTCGACACAATAGGGAGTAGGGCAATCGGCCTGTAGCTGCCAGGGCTTTTTCTGTCTCCTCCCTTGAAGATGGGTGACAAGATGGCACTCTTCCATTCTTTAGGGAGTTTGCACGAGTCTATTGAGTGCTCAAAGAGGTTGCGAAGTGGTTTGGTAAGCACCTCGGCGCAGTTTTTCAGAACCACTGGTTTCAGGTTATCGCAGCCAGGGGACTTGCCCGGACGTAGCCTAGATAGCTTCTCGAACACCTTTTTCTCTGTAATAGAGACGTGACAGAGGTATTCGTTATTTGCGACCTGGTCGGTGTCGTGGCGAGTCGGTGTGGATCTTGTGTCAGTGCTGAGTTGGGCTTGGAAGTGTGAGCTCAAAAGCTCGGCAATCTCTAGACTGCTTAGCACACTCCCGTCATGGCCTGTGACAAGATTCACTCCCTTACTGGTCGACTTTCTTCTTGACATGAAGCGGTACAGGTTTTTGGGGTTGCTTTGTAACCTCGCTGCCAAGTTTGTTTGGTAGGAAAATCTGTCGTTACGCACTCTAATGTTACAGAGATTGCGAATCCTTTTGTAGTTCAAGAAGTCAGACTCCCTGCGTGATGTACGCCACTTGAACCAAGCCTGCTTCTTGCTCCGGATAAGCCTCTCTGTCCCACGCTTTAACCATGAGGTTCTCATTGATTGTCTGTGTGTTACTTCTGGTACACTGTGACTGATGGCCCCAGTGATTATTTTCTTCACCTCCAACCAGTGTTCATCTATTGTGAGATGAGTCCAGTCCACTGGCCATGATGCATTCATGAGGTAGTCCCTCATGGTCTCATAGTTGGCCTTGCTGTAGCAAGGGAAGGTGTTGGGCGTCTCCAGTTGCAGAGCCTCCCTAGTTATCATGGAGAAGGTGATTACAGCGTGGTCACTGAGGCCAAGGGGAGGTTGGATGCAATGAGAAGTTCATCGTTCGTCAGAACGTAGTCAAGGCGCGATGCGTTTCCGTTAGGTCCCCAGCGTGTAGCATCACCCACTTTCTCTGAGAGGCCAGCAGTCTTAATTGCATCCTTCAGCTTCTGATTGAAGGATCTGATGCGTCTCCCTTCCGTCTCGAAGAGGATGGACGGGGTGTTGAAGTCGCCGGCAATGACTACGGAATCGTAATTTGCAGAGGAAGTCGTTAAGATAGCCTTGATGATCATTTCCTTATGTGTAGGGGAGCTGGTGGGGGACCGATATATGACTCCGAGCAGGTATTTGGTACTGTGGAGAGTGAAGTAGCACCATAGGACTCTGGGAGCTGGGTTAAGGCCGTATCGCTAACCATCCTTGCCTTTAAACAGAGTTTACGTAGATAGCCACTCCCCTCCTGCTCTATGTTCCCTGTCCCTGCGGAAGAGTTCCATGCCAGTAACATGCATCTCTTCGTCGGAGATGTCTGGCGAGAGCCAGGATTCGGTGATGAATATGATGTCGGAGTGCTGATGTGCACGCAGCGTCCTCATTTCTGCTACCTTCCCTCTTAGCCCCCTAACGTTGCTGTACATACATATTAGAGTGTGCCTGGTGAGGGGGAGGTCTGGTTGTGTATTTTCGCAGGATGGCGCTTATGTGGTTGGGTCTACCCTCGCCAGTCCTCATAGGACTGGCATTGTTCCGTTTTTTGGTGTTTTGTTAACTTGGGTGGGGGCTGTGGCAGTGGTGGCTTCTTTACTTGATGTATCTAACTCACTGGTCAGCGCCTGTGTGACGACCACTGACTCCAGAGGTCTTGGTGGTTGTCGTCTCTCCTCTTGCCTTGTGGGTCTAGGCTTACTTTCACATATACGTATTGAGCCACCCATGCGATCCTTCGCATTATACCATGCCTGTAGAACGTCTGTGAGGGAGGCATATGAGTCGAACTGGACGGCGAGTAGTCTGGGATTGGGTATGGTCTTCAGGTGCGCTGGCCTTGGCAGTCTACTGACGCTGTTGGCCGGTATACTGTTGAGACCAACTTTGGTTGAGAGCCATTGCCATTGTTGGACGTCGTGAAAGTACCGATCTTTGACCGAGCGGTCACTTGGCAATTCTGGAATCCCATGTACAACTATAGTGTTGTTTCTGTTGGGATTTCCAACCGCTGACTTTCTCTCCTCCTCTCTTATTGACCATGGCTTGTCAGGCCTGGCCCGAATTTTACAGGCATTAACAACGTCCGGTTGTCGCGAGAGGAGGAGTGTGTCTTCAGCCTCTTTGGTAGTATTTAGGGACACACGTAAAGGGGGTGGCTTATCTCGGGGTGCACGGCTTCCTCGAGAAAGGCGACACAAAGTTGCAGGGAGGGGAGGGAGTCCCAGCATCTGACAGTAGTCGGTCCACATTCGGCTGTCAAACCGTTCCCTCTCGACCAACAATGAGTCTGTCGATACATCGACGTTGAACAAAATGATCGAGTTGGTCCTCCTGTGACCTGGGTTCGTTGTGGGTGGCACGCCCGACTTCCCAATGGGTTTGAGTAATTCCACTGGTTGTTTCTCAGTCACGGTTGTGGGGTGTTTGGAATGGGTTTCGTAGAGGCTTAGCGGTCGATGTCTTTGGCCATGCGCTTGACGTCCCCTGGGGCCGGGTAGGAGGTATGGAGACTTGACCTAATATGGTCCCCACGCGAGGTGGCGTGCCCGCAGCTGGAGCTCTAGGTCTGTTTCCAGGTCTCTCTGTGTTATCTTTGGTGTTAACCCTACTTTATTCGAGGATGCTGGTAGCTTTTGCGTGGCGGAGAGCATCTCCTTCAGGCTTTCTGTGCGGAGTGCGGGCATTTTCCTGCACTCTGGACAGATGTACCAGAACCACTTGCATGGTTGTCTCTTCATCAGCTTATAGTATTGTCGGGGGACTTTGGTGTCGCAGTGGCAATGCGCCCATCGTTGACATAGGTTGCATGCAAATGCCTCATCGACTACCGAAACAACTTTGGTGCAAACACTGCAGCCATCGGGTGTCGTAATACAGCCTTCCTTCCATGAATAAGGTGCTACGGATTGTGGCGAACTGCTTGTGGCTGCCTTGTTCTGAAGCCTTTTACGT